CTACTCTTGTGTAAACAGGTAAATAAACAATAAAGCAATACTTTTTCAGAAAATACGACTGTAAATGATTCTAACACCATACGCGCGGCCATTGCTGGGGTGCGTATCTGCTACGTTTTCCAAAATATTTCCTACCATATCATGCATATATTTTATCCGTACATACGCCGATACGGCCCTTATCTGGAGCCCTGCATAATAATTAATCATTGATGCATATCTTGTCATTCGAAAATTGAAGATCATTCATGACATACCATGTCATAGTTAGACAAGTTGCGGACCATCTCGAACCCCAGAGTATGTGTATGGCCCTGACAGACCAGACCATAACCAGAGCAAATCTTGATTTCAACCCCAGGAACCAGCGATTCCCTGGATCCCACTGTATGTTCGACTTATCAGTTGCTTTCTAGTTCAATGTGCAGTGTGACAGTCTGAGCGAGCAACCACCCTTACATCCTGGTCATAAAGGGGGCACAACTCTACATGGCAACACATACCCTGCTTTGTCTTATAAACAACCATATCCAGGTCTTTGAAAAGGCATATCCAGGTCTTGGAAAACAAACAAAATTGCCTTTTTTTAGTGGATAACAGCTTCTTTCTCACAATGAATAAAAATGTTATTTATCAAAACTGTCATGTAGACACTTATGGCCGAAATTCCATCCATATTACAGGTTTGTGATCGCATTCATTCTCCACTAACAGGCGCCAATCCACTTTTGTTAACTTTCAAAAATGAACTTTATTTTTTTTCTTTCACGCCTTGTCTTACGTTAACGTAGATAGTGCCTAGATATGACGTTAAAATGGCTTCCCTTCAGCAGTCCGAGATATCTTGATACAGACACTCAAAAACAGACCAACGGTTTTGTCACGTGACAGATACGTTACCTCTAGAAGCAGTTGCCAGTTTGGGGTCAAGTTTTTATATTATTACATTTTTCTTGCAATTTAAAATGGATTCATTTTAAAGATTGAGTATCAAAATACTTTACATTAATTGAATGGGATGTTACCTTTAGTGTCACAAAATCTTCTTATTTCCTGATATTGCACAAAATACCTTGTCATCTAAATGCATATGTGCACTAGTTTTCAGGTGGTGAGGGTAGAGATGCTGTTTGTAATTCTAGAGAAAGTCTCAAACTTTATGAGGCATAACTTTAAAAATATGTTGCTACTGACGCAAAAACAGTATGCATCTTGAAGAAAACAAACTTTTTTCCACAGTGTGTCAAAAATTTTCTCAGTTAACGTCGCAATCAGCATTTCCTCACTTAACACAACAGTCAATGGTATCAGACAAATATTAACTTGAGGATATTTTCGCTGAAAAACATCAGCTTCCATTGTGACGCATCTGTTACCAGTTTGGTTCGTCGATAGCAAATCAACCATTGGAATGCTAAGTAACTGAACTAACAGTATTGTTCATTAATACAGAAAGGTTGTTACGCGTGTTTCATTTCGTTTAGTACACATGTGCATTGATGCATCTGATACGAAAACAGTCAATGTTTTCGTCCCGATGTACCACAAATCAAACAGTTTGAAGGAGCAAGCTTAACAATTTTAGAATTAACAATGTAACTTCAGATTCACCTTAAAACAACCAATCAAGCCTCTTGGTTGTTACTTTGCACGTGAGAAACATTTCACTAAGTTATCCTGAAAATTAATGCTGTCCTCACTGGATAACCTGTAGACCCTTGTGGACGGACCAACTGGATAACCTGTAGGCCCCTGTGGACCGACCAACTGGATAACCTGTTGGCCCTTGTGGACGGACCAACTGGATAACCTGTAGACCCTTGTGGACCGACCAACTGGATAACCTGTAGGTCCTTGTGGACCGACCAACTTGATAACCTGTTGGCCCTTGTGGACCGACCAACTTGATAACCTGTAGGCCCTTGTGGACCGACCAACTTGATAACCTGTAGACCCTTGTGGACCGACCAACTGGATAACCTGTAGGCCCTTTTGGACCGACCAACTGATAACCTGTAGGCCCTTGTGGACGGACCAACTGGATAACCTGTAGACCCTTGTGGACCGACCAACTGGATAACCTGTAGGCCCTTGTGGACCGACCAACTGGATAACCTGTAGGCCCTTGTGGACGGACCAACTGATAACCTGTAGACCCTTGTGGACGGACCAACTGGATAACCTGTAGGCCCTTGTGGACCGACCAACTGGATAACCTGTAGGCCCTTGTGGACGAACCAACTGGATAACCTGTAGGCCCTTGTGGACGGACCAACTGGATAACCTGTAGACCCTTGTGGACCGACCAACTGGATAACCTGTAGACCCTTGTGGACCGACCAACTGGATAACCTGTAGGCCCTTGTGGACCGACCAACTGGATAACCTGTAGGCCCTTGTGGACGGACCAACTGGATAACCTGTAGACCCTTGTGGACGGACCAACTGGATAACCCGTAGGCCCTTGTGGACCGACCAACTGGATAACCTGTAGGCCCTTGTGGACGAACCAACTTGATAACCTGTAGACCCTTGTGGACGGACCAACTGGATAACCTGTAGACCCTTGTGGACCGACCAACTGGATAACCTGTAGGTCCTTGTGGACCGACCAACTGGATAACCTGTTGGCCCTTGTGGACCGACCAACTGGATTGAGTTCCACTACACAGAGAATGTCCTGTTTATCAGGTTCATCAAGCCATTTGAATTGTTTTGTGTCCTTTCGTTGGGGACTGACACTTCCAGAACTTGTCCAATGTACCACAGGTCATCATGTACTGTAGCAATAAAATACTCTACACATGTTGTCTGTCTCACAGTCCCTGAACCAATTTTCCTTACTGTCAAGACCTCTCTGCAGTGCTAAAGCCCTAAAGAAAGCAAGTCTAGATTTCCCCAGGTTCTGAATCTCTGGTCTCCTTGGGTCTCCTTTTCATTTTAAATGGGCTTGTTTGTTACTTCCAAAATTATATATATTCAGAGGCCAAGCATTAGTCTATCTACGGTTATCTACACATGGTACCTGTCTTGGATTTAAAGAACTGTGAGCGTGTAGGGTAGCGAAGTCCTGTGATGTCCAAGGAGCTGAAAGATTCTTTTACATATGCTTCTTTCAGCAAAGCCCTAGTCATGAAAACCTCATTTTGGTTTTGTGCGTCAGAACTCACACCAAATGTTCAAATTACGCGCGATTTAATTGTAATTTTCAGCGGGAAATCTGAAACCTGTATCTGTACCTGGTAACGAGTAACGTATCTGTTGCTAATGTGTCTGTTAGGCAAAATCGTTAACGGGTTCGGTTTAGACAGATATAAACTGTAATCAGCATTTTGGAAGCTGTATGAACTAAGTAAGGTGAGGGTGTTGCATGTGTGTGTGTTATACGGCAGTGAAGAAGTTACGTTTCGATTAATTCTAGGTTACCTGGAAACGTATATGTTTAAAATCTCGCGTACCTGTCATAATCCAACTAAAACGTGAAAATTGTATTTATTACACAACATTTATGTTATGCCGCTCTGCAGACTTTCAGCGTCATTGAAAAATAGTTTTCATTTACAAGAATCAGTTACAGCTGAGAACACAGCATTTGTAGCGGCAGTAATGTATCTGTTCACATGTGTGATGACAGCATCATTGATAGAAATTCTTTGGAAGAAAAACGTATTTAAGACTTTTATATTTTACAAAGAGCTAGTCAGCAGCATATAAGACGATAAAGTGGCTCATCCTTTTTACAGACGCGATTTTAGACAGGCCATATCTAACAAAAGATGCTCTGGCGACAGCGTGATTTGTTACATTCGGCTTACTTTAGACAACTGTAAAATACAAAATTGCGGAAACATTGCCATTATTTTTCTAATCGACTATAACTGGTGGTTTATATGGCTGTTTCAATGGTGAAATCATAGAGCGACATAAACTTATGGTATTGGCGCCTGTTAGTGGAGAATGAATGAAATAATCAACACTTGACCAGAGGCTGACTCCTGGCCATTGATCTGTGCAAGGGGAATTAATGGCATGGATAAACCAAGTCAGTGAGCCTGACCACAGGATCCCATTATTTGCCTCATGACAAGCATAATCTTCTGAAGACCCTAACCTGAATCTTCTGTAGACCCTAACCTGGATCTTCTGAGATCCTTACATGGATCTTCTGAAGACCCTAACCTGAATCTTCTGAAGACCCTAACCTGGATCTTCTGAGATCCTTACATGGATCTTCTGAAGAACCTAACCCGAATCTTCTGAAGACCCTAACCTGAATCTTCTGAAGACCCTAACCTGAATCTTCTGAAGACCCTAACCTGGATCTTCTGAAGACCCTAATCTGAATCTTCTGAGATCCTTACATGGATCTTCTGAGCACCCTTACAGAAGACCCTAACCTGAATCTTTTGAAGACCCTAACCTGAATCTTGAGACCCTAACCTGGATCTTCTGAATACCCTAACCTGGATCTTCTGAAGACCCTAACCTGAATCTTCTGAAGACCCTAACCTGGATCTTCTGAAGACCCTAACCTGGATCTTCTAAAGACCCTAACCTGGATCTTGAAACCCTAACCTGGATCTTCTGAAGACCCTAACCTGAATCTTCTGAGATCCTTACATGGATCTTCTGAAGACCCTTACCTGAATCTTTGAAGACCCTAACCTGAATCTTGAGACCCTAACCTGGATCTTCTGAATACCCTAACCTGGATCTTCTGAAGACCCTAACCTGAATCTTCTGAAGACCCTAACCTGGATCTTCTGAAGACCCTAACCTGGATCTTCTAAAGACCCTAACCTGGATCTTGAAACCCTAACCTGGATCTTCTGAGACCCTAACCTGGATCTTCAGAGACCCTCACCGGAATCTTCCAGAGGCCAATAAGTATCAGCTTCAGAACATTCACTTGAGATGCTGATGTTATACAACCACTAAAAAACACACATTAAAATGCAAGCCTCTCTCTCCATGTAATCAAAATACAAAAACAACACCGATGTCATAATAAGAATTTATTCAACATTGCTAATACTTAAAATGAAAAACTAACATTGACTAGTTGTGAGATGTCAGATCAGTTTGCTTTATCTAATAAAGAAACAAACAATTATTGCACTCCAGCTGACACTCCAGCTGACACTCTAGACTACATTTTCCCTTGGAAAGCTTTTCTCTAGTTTCTTGAGTTTTGAATAATCACTGCTCTGTCGGGTCATGTACAAATTTTCAAACTGTGACAGACAAACAAGCATATGTTACCTGTGCAAGATGATATTCTGAAGGAAAAAGGTAGATTATTTTTATGTAAAATGTTAAGGAATTAGGGTTCTTCCATAAAAGGTAACAGGTCAAATGTGTAATCGTCCTTTGAACACCATAAATTCTATAACCTACTATTTCATATAGTTCTGGGTCCAAGGCTGTTTTAAAGTGACGAATGTCTGCCTGATGGTGTTTTTAAACCAAGCAAAGCATAACAAACAAGACGGCAACATAGGCTGAATTAACAATGGTGCATTTATATAGTGCTAATACTCCACACTTAATGCATGCTCGAAGCGCACAGTTAAAGTCTAGTTAAGGAAAACTCTTTTAAACAGATGGATCTTCAGAAATGTTTTGAACGATTTGAATGTTGGAGCAAGTCTTATTTCAATAGGAAGTTGATTCCATTCTATGGCTGCCAAGGAAGAGAAAGAGCGATGCCCATAGCTTGCAGTTTTAGTTTTCAGGACACCGAGGAGATGTTGTGCTTGAAATCTGAGAGTTCTCAGTGGTCTGCAAGTAGCTCACACAGGTAATCAGGTGTGTCACTAGCAATGCATTTATACGCAAGACGCAGGGCTTTGTAGGAAATGCGTTCTTTCACTGGAAGCCAATGATGACTTTGGAAAATAGGAGTTATATAGTCATATTTTCGCGTGAGAGTCACAATTCTTGCGACAGTATTTTGTACTTTCTGAAGCTTGTTGATTGTTGTCTGAGGAGCCCCCAGAGTAGGCTGTTGCAGTAGTCTACCTTGGAAATGACTAATGACAGAACAAGGATGATTGCCGATTGTTTGTTGAGATACTTTCTTATATATTTCCAATGTTTCTACGCTGGAGGAAGTGGTTCTCCAAGGATACCTCAAAATCAAGATGAACACGTAGATCTTTAACTACCTCTGCTACCATGAGACAACTCCCAATAGGTATGGAAGTGATATCAACTTTTGACCGCCTCAGCCTGGGTCCAACTATGAAGCATTCCGTTTTGTCATCGTTGAGTTTGAGTTTGTTTCTCAACATCCAAGACTTAATGTCCTGAGAACAGAGGGATGTTAGTTCCAGAGCTTCAGCGGCCTCTGGTGGTTTAGGCTGAAATGGTTGTGAGTCGTCGGTATAGTGGTGACGTCACATCCGGTGTCTGTCAATTAGATTCCCAAGCTGTCTTGTGTACAGCGTACAAAGGATCGGCCCAAGGCCCCTGTGGCACGCCACATGTAAGTAGGACGGGTTCTGATAGACAGCCATCCACAAGCACTGACTGATACCTATCATTGAGGTAGGACGTAAACCAACTCAATGCCACTCCCTGGATTCTAAAGTCCACGTAACTGCGGGAAATCATTACGCTATGGTCTGTCGTGTCGAACGCTGCGCTAAGGTCCAGCAAGACGAGTAATGCTAGATTCCCCTCATCAACTTCAAGTCTGAAATCATTCAGCACCCCGTATCTTGAAAATGAATGCTGTTCATGACAAGCATATTAAAAACTTAAAATAATCCATTCCTGCAAATGTTGTCCAGGACAAACGAATCACATCAGGTTTTATAGTGATACTGCACTGGGAGATACACGCCTACAAGCCTGAATTATCTATGCTATTTAGCTCTAAGGTCCATAGAGTTTATTGCTTTGTAAAACTGTTTAACTGTGTCAGGTTGCCGGTATAGGATGTCAGCAGTAGCCCGTGTCACCAGGCAAAAGAGGGTTGAGTTGTGCAGCTTGGACCAAGGAAGCCCAAAGTAAGGGTATGCATGAGTACATGTGGACAGAAGCATGATGTGAGAGGGCAGGCACCTCACAAGAAAGAATCACACCAGGTTTTCAGACATGTAAAGCAGTCCCCTGCTTGCTTGGAATTAGCATGACATGCCTCCTTCAGCCAGTCTACGAAAAGCTCCTCATCTTTCTTCAACAACAGAAACTGACCCAGAACAACGTATGCCTGAAAAACAATAAACAATGAGTTGTTGGAGGTGAGAAGTCAGAAGGAGTGTAATGTTGCTTTCAAGTAACAAATTATCAACACTAAGCCAGTTGTTTAGAGCTAGCAGCTGAGAGACAGCATGCTGCAGTTTAGCATGCATACCCACATGAGTAAACATATAACTTTTTACTTATCCTCACTTATACTTATAAAACGTCTTTGGTACTACAGATACAGACATATTTTTTATCTCATTCTTCAGTCTACTGAAATGTAAGACAAAGTGTAATCTCACCTTATCAAACCCTGCCCCTCTGAGTCTTCCGCCAAGAACCGGTCCTATTCCAGGTAGTTCAGTCACAGGCTTTAGTCCCATTGGCTCTGACACGAAGTTCCGGTGTTTTTGAGATGTGGACGACATCCTGACTCGTTAGCAGATGACTTGTACTGGAAAACAACAATAATTTGATTTACTATAATTCGTTCTTAAAAAGTGAATGATAACCTTCATGTTATAATTCCTGCTAGTGATGAACTAGTTGTGAAAAAATATCAATCTTCTTATTGTACCGAGTAATGCTGATGCTTTGTTTCGTGGCCAGTAAATAGAACGTCTTGGATCAGACAAACCAGTGATTGATATTGTGAGCAATGATCCACACTGTCGGGGTGTGATGCAACAGTGAACCACGTCTGACAAGCTGATCCACACTGTCGGGGTGTGATGCCACAGTGAACCATATCTGACCAGCTGATCCACACTGTCGGGGTGTGATGCTACAGTGGACAATGTCCGACCACCTGATCCACACTGTCGGGGTGTGATACCACAGTGAACCATGTCTGACCAGCTGATCCACACTGTTGGGGTGTGATGCCACAGTGGACCATGTCTAACCAGCTGATCCACACTGTCGGGGTGTAAAACCGCAGTGGACCATGTCTGACCAGCTGATCCACACTGATGGGGTGTGATACCACAGTGAACCATGTCTGACCAGCTGATCCACACTGTTGGGGTGTGATGCCACAGTGGACCATGTCAGCAATGATCCACACTGTCGTGGTGCGATACCAAAGTGGACCATGTCAGCAATGATCCACACTGTCGGGGTGTGGCACCACAGTGGACTATTGTCCGCAATGATTCACACTGTCGGGGTGCGATACCACAGTGGACCATTGTCAGTAATGATTCACACTGTCGGGGTGTGATACCACAGTGGACCATGTCAGTAATGATTCACACTGTCGGGGTGTGATACCACAGTGGACCATGTCAGCAATGATCCACACCGTTTGGGTACGATGCCACATTGGACCATGTCAGCAATGATCGACACCGTCAGGGTGTGATACCAGAGTGAACCATGTCTGACCAGCTGATCCACACTGTCGGGGTGTGATGCGACAGTGAACCATGTCTGACCAGCTGATCCACACTGTCGGGGTGTGATACCACAGTGAACCATGTCTGACCAGCTGATCCACACTGTCGGGGTGTGATGCGACAGTGGACCATGTCAGCAATGATCCACACTGTCGGGGGGTGATGCCACAGTGAACCATGTCAGCAATGATCCACACTGTTTGGGTGTGATATCACAGTGAACCATGTTTGACCAGCTGAACTACACTTTTGGGGTGCGATGCCACAGTGAACCATGTCAGCAATGATCCACACCGTTTGGGTATGATGCCACATTGGACCATGTCAGCAATGATCGACACCGTCAGGGTGTGATACCAGAGTGAACCATGTCTGACCAGCTGATCCACACTGTCGGGGTGTGATGCGACAGTGAACCATGTCTGACCAGCTGATCCACACTGTCGGGGTGTGATACCACAGTGAACCATGTCTGACCAGCTGATCCACACTGTCGGGGTGTGATGCGACAGTGGACCATGTCAGCAATGATCCACACTGTCGGGGGGTGATGCCACAGTGAACCATGTCAGCAATGATCTGCACTGTTGGGGTACGATGCCACAGTGGACAATGTCTGACCACCTGATCCACACGGCCGGGGTGTGATGCCACAGTCAACCATGTCTAACCAGCTGATCAACACTGATGGGGTGTGATGCCACAATGAGCCCTGTCTGAGCAGCTCATCCACCATGTCGCGGTGTGATACCACAGTGAACCATGTCTGACTAGCTGATCCACACTACAGGGGTGTGATGACACAGTCAACCATGTCTTACCAGCGGATCCACACTGTCGGGGTGTGATGCCACAGTGAACCATGTCTAACCAACTGATCCACACTGTTGGGGTGTGATGCCACAGTGAACCATGTCTGACCAGTTGATCCACACTGTCGGGGTGTGATGCGACAGTGAACCATGTCTGACCAGCTGATCCACACTGTCGGGGTGTGATACCACAGTGAACCATGTCTGACCAGCTGATCCACACTGTCGGGGTGTGATGCGACAGTGGACCATGTCAGCAATGATCCACACTGTCGGGGGGTGATGCCACAGTGAACCATGTCAGCAATGATCCACACTGTTGGGGTGTGATATCACAGTGAACCATGTTTGACCAGCTGAACTACACTTTTGGGGTGCGATGCCACAGTGAACCATGTCAGCAATGATCCACACCGTTTGGGTACGATGCCACATTGGACCATGTCAGCAATGATCGACACCGTCAGGGTGTGATACCAGAGTGAACCATGTCTGACCAGCTGATCCACACTGTCGGGGTGTGATGCGACAGTGAACCATGTCTGACCAGCTGATCCACACTGTCGGGGTGTGATACCACAGTGAACCATGTCTGACCAGCTGATCCACACTGTCGGGGGTGTGATGCGACAGTGGACCATGTCAGCAATGATCCACACTGTCGGGGGGTGATGCCACAGTGAACCATGTCAGCAATGATCTGCACTGTTGGGGTACGATGCCACAGTGGACAATGTCTGACCACCTGATCCACACTGCCGGGGTGTGATGCCACAGTCAACCATGTCTAACCAGCTGATCAACACTGATGGGGTGTGATGCCACAATGAGCCCTGTCTGAGCAGCTCATCCACCATGTCGCGGTGTGATACCACAGTGAACCATGTCTGACTAGCTGATCCACACTACAGGGGTGTGATGACACAGTCAACCATGTCTTACCAGCTGATCCACACTGTCGGGGTGTGATGCCACAGTGAACCATGTCTAACCAGCTGATCCACACTGTTGGGGTGTGATGCCACAGTGAACCATGTCTGACCAGTTGATCCACACTGTCGGGGTGTGATGCTACAGTGAACCATGTCTGACCAGTTGATCCACACTGTTGGGGTACGATACCACAGTGAACCATGTCTGACCAGCTGATCCACACTGTCGGGGTGTGATGCCACAGTGAACCATGTCTGACCAGCTGATCCACACTGTCGGGGTGCGATACCACAGTGAACCATGTCTGACCAGCTGATCCACACTGTCGGGGTGTGATGCCACAGTGGACCATGTCTGACCAGTTGATCCACACTGTCGGGGTGCGATACCACAGTCAACCATGTCTGAGCAGCTCACCCACCAAGTAGGGGTGTGATGCCAAAGTGAACTATGTCTACCAGCTCATCTACACTGTCGGGGTGTGATACCACAGTGGACCATGTCTGACCAGCTGATCCACACTGTTTGGGTGTGATGCCACAGTGGACATTGTCTGACCACCTGATCCACACTGTCGGGGTGTGATGCCACAGTCAACCATGTCTAACCAGCTCATCAACACTGTCGGGGTGTGATGCCACAATGAACAGTGTCTGACCAGCTGATCCACACTGATGGGGTGTGATGCCACAGTGAACCATGTCTCACCAGCTGATCCACACTGTTGGGGTGTGATACCACAGTGGACCATGTCAGCAATGATCCACACTGTCGGGGTGTGATACCACAGTGGAACATGTCAGCAATGATCCACACTGTCGGGGTGTGATACCACAGTGGAACATGTCAGCAATGATTCACACTGTCGGGGTGCGATACCACAGTGAAGTATGTCAGCAGTGATCCACACTATCGGGGTGTGATACCACAGAGGACCATGTCAGCAATGATCCACACTCTCGGGGTGTGATACCTCAGTGGAACATGTCAGCAATGATCCACACTGTCGGGGTGCGATACCACAGTGAACCATGTCAGCAATGATCCACACTACCGGGGTGTGATACCACAGTGGAACATGTCAGCAATGATCCACACTGTCGGGGTACGATACCACAGTGGACCATGTCAGCAATGATCCACACTGTCGGGTGTGATACCAAAGTGGACCATGTCAGCAATGATCCACACTGTCGGGGTGTGGCACCACAGTGGAACATGTCAGCAATTATCCACACTGTCGTGGTGCGATACCACAGTGAACCATGTCAGCAATGATCCACACAATCGGGGTGTGATACCACAGTGGACCATGTCAACAATGATCCACACTGTCAGGGTGTGATGCCACAGTGGACCATGTCTGACCACCTGATTCACACTGTCGGGGTGCGATACCACAGTGAACCATTGTCAGTAATGATTCACACTGTCAGGATGTGATACCACAGTGAACCAAGTCAGCAATGATCCACACTCTTTGGGTACGATGCCACATTGGACCATGTCAGCAATGATCGACACTGTCAGGGTGTGATACCAGAGTGAACCATGTCTGACCAGCTGATCCACACTGTCGGGGTGTGATGCGACAGTGGAACATGTCAGCAATGATCCACACTGTCGGGGGGTGATGCCACAGTGAACCATGTCAGCAATGATCCACACTGACGGAGTGTGATACCACAGTGGACCATGTCAACAATGATCCACACTCTCGGGGTGTGATAGCACAGTGGATCATGTCAGCAATGATCCACACTGTCACGGTGTGATACCACAGTGAACCAAGTCAGCAATGATCCACACTGTCGGAGTGTGATACCACAGTGGACCATGTCAGCAATGATCCACACTGTCGGGGTGTGATACCACAGTGGACCATGTCTGACAAGCTGATCCAAACGGTCGGGGTGTGATACCACTGTGGACCATGTCAGCAATGATCCGCACTGTCGGGGTGTGATACCACAGTGAACCATGTCTGACCACCTGATCCACCCTGTCGGGGTGCGATACCACAGTGAACCATGTCTGACCAGCTGATCCATACTGTCGGGTTTCGATACCACAGTGAACCATGTCTGACCAGCTGATCCACATTGTCTCGGTCCGATACCACAGTGGACCATGTCAGACCAGTTCATCCACACTGTCGTTGTGTGATGTCACCGTCAACCATGTCTAGCCGGCTGATCCACACTTCCGGAGTATGATGCCACAGTGAACCCTGTCTGACCAGCTGATCCACACTGTCGGGGTGTGATACCACACTAAGCCATGTGTGACCAGCTCATCCATACTGTCAGGGT